TAACATTTATGGGGCCCAGACAAGGGGCTCTCGAGCCTTATGATATATTATAGGAACTAGCCACAATACTATATTAGATTTGTTCCCAGTGGCAAGTAGCGCAATACCAATAATACTAGAATATCATAAATACCACAATATGATGCCATATATGATGCTTGATTATTTGTGGCATAGTATATATTACCACAAATAATCAAGCATCATATATGGCAATTATAATTGGGCAATTATTTAAGCCAACGGAAAAGGTATAGTACCTATTTATTTTGTTACCAATTTAATGTGATTTTTTTTGTTCCAATATGATGATACAGTAAAAAATAAAAGAAACTCGCCTGTTAAAATTCTCCTTTTTATTTTTGAAAAAAGAAATTAAGTTCAATTTCTTATTTACTACACATTTCCAGAAAAATTTGTTTAAAACTAAACTTCGAACTTCAAGTACTGCAACTTTAGGGTAATAAGAATATTTTTAACATAGTGTTCATTCAACTTGATACATAGTGTTCTCTCAACTTGATAAAAAGTGTCTTTTTTAATGAAACATATGCTTTGAATTGTAAAATTATATTTTCGAAAATATTAATACGCTTAAATGCTTATTTCTGACATGCTGCTGACATGCTTATTTCTGAAATTTCGTTTGATTTTTATTTAAATTCTCCAATATTTATTTAAATTGTGCGCTTGAATTATCGTTATTAGATAATATTAAAAAATGATATTTTTGATGTGAAACGATCTGTATTGAAATTTATGTCATCTATGTAAACAATCTATACTTTCAGGTATTAAGTAATATAATCATTAAACTTACAACTTCTGAAAAATTATAACTAGGTTTTAATTAAAAAAATTTAATTAAGTTTCAATTATATGCACTTATTCTTACATTGTTTAAAAATGTTATGTAATTTTTCTGAAAGAAATAAAATAAAAAACCCATTCTGAGGGAGCATAAATAAAGATATGGGAAGAAAACTGCTTCTCAAATGCTATGGAACAATCACCACTTTTCAAAGTAATCTAAATAATGTTTACAATTCAAGAGAATGTAATAATAACGTAAATATCGAAAAAGTACAGTTTGTTAGATTTAGTTTTTCACGTTTTTTTTAAATTTATTTATGTATTTTTTTATCTTATCTTTATTTTACAAGAAATTCATCATAGGCGTTTTAAAACTAGTATTTGTGGAATGCCTGCTAAAGATATGCATTTTATGATGAACAATTATGTTGGCATATAATAACATAATAACTTATTTTGCTTTTTATATAATTTTTTTTATTAACTCTTAGGTAATTTTCAGTTTATTAATAAAAAGTTTTTCTTTACAGATGTTTTACTATTTTTTAAGCAAAAACTTGAGGAGAGAAATTAATTACAATATAGTTCGGTAAATAAACAAATATTTCTGATCGAATATATTGTTTCGCTTAAAAAATATAAAACTTTATCTTTAAGCTTTATATACAAATAACTTCTTTTATTTATTATTTGTTCATCGAATATTTATTCAATTTTATTTTTAAATGAAAAATAATAAAAATAGCATAATTGATTGTAACTTCAAGTGGAAATGAGCCAAATCTAAAATTTTTCTTTAATGATTAGGTTTGAATTGCATTTTCATTTAAAAAATCAATTCATTTTTTTTCTAATTCGAATGAATTTTTATCTTAGAATCTTTTCTATTGTATGACAGAAAAAAATCGTTAAATGGTGCAAAATTACACTGAATAATTTCGCACGGAAATAGACACCAAATCAAACTTAAGAAGATTAAGACTGCGAAGTGATGAAGTGAGACAGCGAAGTGACTGCATTGCATAATTAGTGATGACGAATATGTTAATCAATAGAGCTATTTACGAATTTGAAATTCGATGTGCTCGTAAAATATGCAAATGCTGAATAATCCGTCAAACGCTTACGATTACAATAAACTGAGGAAAAATTAAGTTTTCTGGGCATGGGTCATTAGAAAAATTCATAGAGTTAAAAGTTCGCTTATCACGGGAGCATTAACAAAATTGGCAAATCAAGTAAATAATTGAGATTAAGTGTTTAAATAGTTTAATTATTTGTTACTCTTTTGTGATGAAAAGTTTAAGTCAATATACTGCCAAAACTATACGGAGAAAAAAAAATCTGGTTAAATTACAGTACTGTATGGTAACGACATTTCTCGTAAAAAAAAAGACAAAAAACGTAATTCTGATAATAAAACCAAAATATATGGTATTTATAAACCATTCATTAGGAAATTTTTAAGATCTAATGATAATGGTTAATCGGAAATTCTGGTTTTTAAAATTATAGTAACTTCACATTTAGTATAAAACACGAAATTGAAAGTAAATTTATCCAAATAAATGGTTTTTAGACCATGATCTAAGAAATCATGATAAAATTACTAAATGGTGCCACTTTTTCTAAATTTTATCACTTTTACTAAATTTTATCACATATTATGACAATATATTTTAAGTTAAGTTAACAAAAATCATTACCAAATCTCTTCGGCAAAAACTACTGAGCTTATCGTGTTTCCATAATGTCAGAAGCACGGTAAAGTTAATCATATTCTGGTAATTCTGACCATACTTTTTTTCTCAGTGTACTCTCAGTTGACTTAGGCTTTTCTTCCCAAAAAAGGTATCAAGAAGCTAAGAAGACTTTACCAATTTTTTCCAATTATTGAATTGATCTTGTGCTTCGGCAGCAAAACCATACATAAACATACAGTAAAATGCTAAGAAATATGTTGAGAAATATCTCAAAAAAGTTGGTTTAATGTTGAACCATAATATGAGGTGAATTTTCTACAGTTATGAATTGTTAAACCTGCGAAAGTTGAACCATTATATTAGTATCTTGAACAATAATATGAAGTACATTTTCTGAAATTCACATCAGTAATGAAGTCGTAAACCGATTCAAAATATCAAACCATAGAATCGTGTAAACAAGTTTAAGAATTACTACAATTTTGGTCTAAATTATAACTCTATTAAAGTTACAGCCTTAGAAGATATTTTGATTAAACACGGTCCAAAATTTCCTTCAATGAAAATTAATTGAAAAGCTCATGATGTCTTAATATCCACTATCTCGAGTAGATTTTCCATGTCTTAGTAACGTCCTAAATTATTATATGTATCTTATTAACATTGTGTGTGAAAAACATTTGAGTGAATATTTGACGACTTTGTTTTACAAACTTATGGATGCATTTTCACGAAACGAAATTCACTAATTTGAATTGTTTAAATGATTTTCACGCCACTTTTTCACATATTAATCCTTTTACGCTTAATGTTGCTTTTAAACAAAACAATTTTGGTTGAATTTTCATATTTTTTATTTTTTATTAATAAAGCAACAATGCATTTCAATGTGCCATGCTTTTTATCATGTCAACAAACTTTTTATTGAGAAATTATTGATTAAAAATTGTTTAATAACGTGAATAGTAAGTTAATTATTATTATTATTTAAAGCTAGAAATGGAATTCAACTATGCATGAAAGATTAGAAATGATTGGAAAAAAACATGTAGTTTCTAAGCAAAGGAGTTGAATTTCAGGAGAGAAAATGAATTTTTATTACATTATTTTTATTCTAAATAATAGAGAAGTAAACATGAAAACAAAATCTTAAAAAAAAATATAGTTATTTAAAAGTTTATATAATCGTGAAACTTTACGTAATAGTTAGTAAGTCTTTTTATTTTCCAATCAGCTGTTAATAGTACATAAATCGTATAAATTTAAAGAATAAATGATTTTTATGTGCATAAATTAAGGTATAAATGTAGGAAAGCGTGGAAATTGGCATTGGAAAAATGCTGTAGTTCAACTGAGAAAAATGATTCAACTTAAAACCTCGTTAAAAATGCAGTAAATTTGGATCCTTCATCGTATCATTATTTTTGTCTGAACTTCGAATCAATTTTTGTCAGAATTTACAATACAAACTAACCACTAAATTGAGAGAAAAAAGCTCTAAATTCTTTTAAATCTAGTTAAATTTATATTAAAATAATTGTATTTAATAAAATTTTGTGTATTAAATACGATTCAATATTTCAAATAAGAACAGTAAAAAGTAAATGTTTCAACTTTATATAAAGCATGGTTCAGTTTAACACCTTATTAAAAATACATAAATTTGCAACGTAATAGGATTAAACGTATCATTATTTTGGTTCCTATTTTAAATTTTTCTCAGAATTTAGAGTAAAAACTAACCACCAAATGGAAAAAAATGTTCTAAATTCCTTTAAAACAAGTTAAATTTGCTAAAAAAATTATGTATTATTCGTTCGACAGATTCAATACTTTGAAGGAAAAAAAATGATTTATGTAACTTAATGTAAATATCTTGTTTACAATTTTGCATATAAATAATACTTAATAAGTGCACTGATTAACTTGTTTTGCATATACATATAACTTTGCAATAAAATTAGTCAACGCGTATTTGTAATTATGTGTTCTCGAATGTTATAAATTGTTCTCATTCAATAGAGGCAATTTTTTTATATTATGATAAACATAATTACTGATATTTCTTAGATTTGATAAAATACGAACAAACATTTGTAAGGTTTAAAAAAACAGTTGTTAAATATTCTTAATCATTAAACATTTATAATTAGCAACGAGCATGTTTTGAAATGGTATTCAAGCAACAATGTCTTTGTGTTTTGAAGATTTGGAGACCGTTTCTGATAACTTAAACACCATTTATCAGTCACGCGTTTCCAATTAGTTGACCGTAATTAAATAAACTAAATAGTTGCAGCTTTTAGAGACGTCGCCATGCCTCTAAATCTCAAAAACACACATCAAATGCTTATTCTTTCAATGAATCAGATTATATTGTACTTCACAGAAAGCATTTTACTTTTATTCAGTGGTGTTCTCCAGTTTTCAAATGATTGTTAGTTAAAGTAGTAAGTTCTTTTTGTAATAAAAAGACCAAACAAATAAAGTTTTTCATAAAATTTATTGCAATTTAAATATATTATGGGAATGTAATTACAGAGTTGTAAACATGAGGCATTTTTTTTTTCAAATTTTGAAAATGAATACTATTTGATAAAGTTAACTAAAACAGTATAATATGAGCTTACTTCATCTCACAAAATACAAAGAAAAATGATCAGGTTTTCAAAAGAAAAAAGTGCAATAAATAAACACTATATAAGCTCTAAACTATATAATTACTTTGTTAAACAATTAGTTAAAACATGTTTATCATAAAGTAAAATAATTAGACTATTTTATTATGTTAGTTTACGGTGCAAAACTGTACATGCGCTAAAAATATTAAGTACATTATTGCTCTTCTTACACATGAAATGATTTTATTTGTTTTTTTATTCACATTTCTACTTGTAGTTAAAATTAATTATTATTTATTTAATTTATCGAAAGTGTTATGGGTTATATTACAAAATGCTTTTTTAATATTTTAGATGACTAAAATAAAAATAATTATATAGTTAGTATTATATTTTTTAATCGATTTGGCTAAACATGTTGACATTTTCATTTGTTTATTAGTTATAGACTTTAAAAAAATGCCAATAAATGTAAAAAAAAGATTGATTTACAATACTGTTATCAGAGATATTGTTACAATAATAATATGATAACTGAAAACGCTTTATTTTCTTCCAACAATAGGAAAACAAAGTAGCTTGGTTAATTTTTTTCATTTTCATTAATCTAGATGGTATCTTTAAAAAATAAAACAAATTTAATCGTTTATTATAAATAATTTTAAAGAATCAGCTCAGTTTCTCAACAAAGTTAATCCTATCTAATACTGTTACAGGAAAAATCGACACAAAATATTCAAATTAAAATACTTTATTTCCTGTTGTTTTCTAAAGTAAAAAGTTATTTAATTTAAAATCTTACTATTCTTAGTAAGAAAATTATATAGTTTGTACTATAAGGAAAATATGGGATATAGCAGCTTTATAAAAATATATGTATATTTTTTTTTTACAAAAGTAATTCACGATAATAATATTTGTATTAATTTTCAAATATCTGCAAACCAAATGAATTATATTTTTTCACAAATTTAATTCTTAAATAAAACCAACTTTTAATTAGATTACCATGATATTCTATTGCCAGTAAACGAACAAAACTTCAATAAATACAGTGTTTTTTAAAAGAAAAAAAAACAATTTGACAATGAACAACATATATTTTATATTACATAGTAATTCGAATCTCTCTTTTAATTATAACCATTTATTGCAACAATTTTTATCGCAAGAATGTCTTATAAAATTCAGGTTATAATTTTATCAGAAGTAAGGTGGCTAAAAGTCCCACTATAAGCTATCACTCTTCAAGTCTTCTTTTTCTTCTTTTTTTTTTAAACAAATTGTCCATTTTGCTTCTTTGTAACAAAGATCTGATCAACGGCGACTCTAGATTAGACTTAATGACTTTAGATTTCATTAGTCAACACGTGAAATGTTGTTTTTATTGCATTTATTTGAAAGCTCAACAAATTGGTGAAGATAAAGAGTGTGGAGGTGCTAAGAAAGATGGCCTTTCTACACCACTTTGGTGATGTCCAACAGCTGCAGCTGCTGCTGCCGCTGCATGGGCAGCTGCAGCATTCTCACTAGCCCATGGTTGCAAAGTTTGAAGCGCGTGCAAGGAAGCGTTACTTATACAGAGTGGATCCCTGCTTTGATCATATATGGACTTAGAAACTACTTCAGCTTGTAGAGACATCATCAGTCTATTGGCAGCTTGTCGTTCAGCTTCTCTCTCCTCTGCTGTTTGCCGCCTGTAAAAGAAAACAAATGTTAACATTTATGAAGAATTAGAAAATAAATTTTAACATTTATGAAGGATTAGAAAATAAATTTTAACATTTATGAAGAAACAGAATATATTTCTTTTTAATATTTATGAAAAATAGAAAATAAATTTTAACAGTTATGAAGGTTTGGAAAATAAATTTTAACATTTGTGAATGATTAGAAAATATTTTTTTTAAAAATTAGGATGGATTCGAAAATTAATGTTAACATTTAGGAAGGATTAGAAAATTTTAAATTTTACATTTGAGAAGGATTAGAAAATTAGTTTTGAAATTTATATAGAATTAAAAATTCTTCCAACTCTTTTTCTATATCCTAACCTATCCTTCTATCCTTATCAATATATTAAACTCATCTTTTCATTGTGCTCATGCTTTGATTTCATTTTTCCTTATTTTCAAGAGATGTAAGTGATATTGTCAAAATTCTTAATGTATTGAATTTTAGCTATAATTTGAAATCTATGTGGCAACCAGTAAAATACACAAACATCAGTGAGTATGAGTTCGGGACATTTCGAGCTCTGTAAGATAAGATAGAAAATTTTCCCCAATACATTATTACTTGCTGCTTTATTATTTTTTTTCTCACGCAGATATCGAGCCATAGCTTGAGTATCGTATAACATATCTAAGTTATTGCTCGAAAAAAGCAAGCTCCATGACCAATAATTGGTATTAAAATATGCTGCACCATAACGCCATTTATGTTTAAAATTTCTACAGCTATTTTAGAAGGGATCAAAAATAAATCTAAATAATTACATTGCAACACAAGTTTTTGTAATTACAAGTAATTACAAGTTTTTATTTCTATGAAATACAAAGTTATTCTAAATATATACTTGACGTACAAGTAACTATTTAACATTACTTGAACTATTACTTAAAATAACCTAAAAAAATGAATTTTAAATAAATGCTTAACGTCTAACTATTTTTTTTTTTAATTTCACTAAAATTATTACTTAAAATAACTTAACGAAACGAATAATAACTTAACGAAACGAATAATAACTATAATATTGCCAATAGATAGAGAAAAATCCGAGTTTATGGCGCCATATGTGAGAAATATATTGAGAAAAATTAACTTTGGTATAAAAATATCCTTCGAAGCGCATTTTTATTGCCTAGAAAATCTTGATTTCCTTTGTTGTGTTTCTTTATTATAAACTAATCTTACCTGACCTTATTTTACAACGTTATACGAGAAATTTTAATAATAAGAATTATAATAATAAGAAAAATAATAAGAAACCACTGACTCATCCCCCCTGTACATGCAAACCTCCTGCCTAAATTGACCATTAGAAAAATACACCTTAAGTGGTCAACTTACACAGGTTTCACTGTCTTCATCTTATTAAATATTTCGCAATTATTAAATAGTATAATGTTACATTTACTTTTATAATAAGCTTAATGGAAAATTGTGCTCATTCAATTTTTGGAATTATAACAAAATTGCAAAACATTATTTAAAATCATTTTTTCTCATTTTAACTAAATAATTTATTTGACTATAAAACATTTAACGAGTTTTTCATTGCAACTTGAAAATTATTATAAGCTAAATTTAAAAATGAAAATTATACAGAAATTTGAACAATAAACTGTCCGATGTTTAAACAAAATGGGCACACCAATCGAAATATAAGAAAAGCGGGATGTACCCCAGGCTCCACGTTGAAAAAAATAAATAATATTCAATAAATAATAGGACGAATTTAAATACCTTTAGATTACAATTTAAGTAAGGCCCTTTGACGCCCAATAATCAAAAACAAGAAAATAAAATAAAATAAAAATAGCTAATGATAATTAAGAAAAAAAATATTGGAGTATTTATTTTTAAGAATTAAATTCAATAAAAAAAAATATAATATATTAGAAACATTTTGGAGAAAATTTATTGAGATTCGAAACTATTTTCTTTCTAAAGGGCTTTTCAGAAATAGAATATTTTGAGGGCACAGCAAAAAGTTTTCCCTGGACACCATAAATTCTAGCTATGGCTCAGGATATGAGCATAGCAGCTTTAAAATCTACAAACCCAAGTATACCAGAGTATATACACGTATTGTCAAAACAAGTCATTTTTATAATAATACTTAAACCAGAATTTTTTATATAAAAAGCAATTCTTTGAGCTGCGCCAAAAGAGGGAGGAGGGCAGTACCGCACTTCGAATTCTTAGTGGATTCCTCAAAAGACAAATACTTACTTTTTCATAACTACCAAAATAATGCTTCAATAAAAACCTTAGAATCACCATTGTTATTTGATATGAAACAAAATCGTCTGCAGCGCACAAATCTGACTGTGGTATATGACGTACCATCACATACAAACACGAATCCTGATGTCTATGTGATCATATAAAAGCCATTAAGATAAATATTTTAGAACTACATTGTAGAGTGTTCGAATCATACTCAGTGAATTCGACAACCATCATTCTTAGAAGGCAGGTCGAGCTACTGAATGCTTTTTTGAGAAATCGAAAATGGAATACGACGTTAGGTTATTTTATCACTTTCTAAAATGGACATTTGAGTAAAGTAACATCGGAAAGTGAACGCGTTATGAGATTTTTGTGATCTGTAATACTCGTATTAGAACATTTGGAAGATTTTCAAGGAATTTGTTCCTTTTACTAGCACGCGCAGACTTTATGGTAAGCAATTCTAGAAAACCGTTGAACATGAACGTCAGAAATGTAGGTTTATACAGAGTATAATATTCCATTTTCTGTTTTTCTTGTGCTTTATAAAGCCAACTGGATGCAAGCATTAAAAAGAATGTCATAAATATGAAGAGATCAGCAGAAAGTGCTTACGTAAAATGCAGGGACTATAACACTTTAACGTGATTTTTCGTTTTATTTTAGTTTGGGGATGAAACGAAATATGTAATCATTCTTTTATGCATACCTTTTTTGCAATATGTTTTGAAGGTTGAATATATTTTTGGTAATCTACTTTTTCTGGAAATGGAATAACAGAAAAATTTTATATCTCTTTTGAATAGTTATTATTTCAGAAGTAAAGAAAACTCTAAAAATAATATTCATTTTGCTAAACAAAAGAGCTTTTGAATTAAATAAGCTTTTAAAACTATAAATACATATTTCAAGAGTTGTGTAGGCAAAAAGTAAATGATTTTTTGAAATAAGTAAGTGTAAAATATACAACTTTCTTATACTACAAATAAAAGTCAAACTTTTTGTTGAAATAACGCCTAGCCTTGAAGATTTCCAAAATCAAAATAATAAGCAAATTTACTTATAAAAACAATAGTTTAATTTTATAAGCTACTATTTTGAAGGGAAAAAACATTAAAAGTGCTTTACGATAGATTTTGGGAAAATTGAATTGGCAATTATTTTCTTTCCCTTGTTAATAAATTCAACGCTTTTTGATCCCAATATGTACAAAAATGTCCAATGTTCACGGAATACAAATTCTGCCAAAATTACTATACTTTATGGTAAAAATACTCTATGGCAATGACATTCTGGTAAAAAAAAGAAAGAAAAAAGATCACAATTCTGGTAATAAAAAGCAGAACACGTGGTTTTTGCTCATAAATTAACGGTCATCAGAAATTCTGGTTTAAAAAAAATATAGTTTTATTAGCACACATTTAGTAAAAAATACAAAGCTGGAAAAATAATTTTACCTGAGTGAATGGTTTTTACGCCATACTCTTAGGTATCATGATAAAGATAATAACTTGTACCACATTTTATCACACATCATAAAACCATACTTTATTGTTAATTTTATCAGAATCACTACTAATACGCTTCGGTAAAAATTACCTAACTTTATGGTATTCCCATAAAGCAAGAAACACAGTAAATTTTATCATATTCCGGTAGATTGGATCATATTTCTTTCTCTTTTTAAAAAGTCTCTATATATTGAAATTTTTTATCGATTGCATTGTTTTTTCATATTCGTAGCAGCATTTAATATTTTTCCAAAACATTAAAGCAAATGTTGTTTCCCCGTTAAAAAAATAAATAAATAAATAAACGATAAATACATTATTTTTGGAGTCTAGTGTATTGCTTAGTGGGAAGCAATTATTATCTGTGTACCGCCCTGTTGTAAATTTGCTGTAATTCTTTAATCGTTGAAAAACAATTCTCTTTATAGCATGTCATTGCTTCATAATAGCATCTTCAATTATACATTTAAATAAAAACTCTAAATCGCTAAATGATCATGCTTTAATACTAATATCTTAGCAAAGTAAGGTTTTTCTTTATTGGTCCCTTCTTATCTATCATTAACGAAAAGTTATTATTTCAACGATACACGATATTGGGTTATCATCTATCGGCGATATTTTTACTCATAAAGAATTATAGGGTGTTTATGCCAGAGAACACTTCTGGCAGGCTCATTCCAGAACAGATATAATAAAGGTATAGTAGATGGTTTGATTGGCAGACATCAGTGAATTCGAAGCAATTATGACGTCCCCGGGGTAAGAATAGGTGAATATGGAATAGATATCATTCCAATAACAGCAGTTAATGGTGCTGGTGTATCTGCTGAATCAGATTCTAATGATGTCGCCAGCCAACTCTCATCAGGAAGACTGGTATCCGAAGAGCCTTAATGAAATGGTAATAACTTGGTTACAAGCGCTACTGTGCCCGCATGTCTAGCTCCAGAAACGTCTGGCGGCGATAATAATAGTAAGAAATTTTTCTTGGCGAGCTCCATTGGTGCATGCCCTATTATGACACAAGATTAGAGGAGAGCACATCATGCATTTTCAATGAGATTGCTCATTTACGCTTCTTTCTTATGGAGTTGCAGAATCACCATCTCGTGACGTGAAAGATCACGCGCATTTAAAGAGAATGCGAGGGTAAATATAGTGTATTTTTATGAGATTATGTTCTGGATGCATTATGTTGCGAGGGAAAGAGTTAAACATTTATT